ACCTCGAGGTAGTACATGCCCAACAACATATCAAAAGGCAAATCGTCGCTCACCAGGAATGTTGTTCTATGATTTAATTATCCTCCTGGGTAAGAGAAAGTGCAGACCACGTCCTTTACGTACTCTTCCACCATCATGCGCTCTTTGCTGGCCAAAGTAGATGCAACCGGTCTACTAAGGCACTGCACCTGGTCTTTTAGGCGCAGTCTCTCAACACAGTCGCGACTTATGAAGTTTCATCTAGAGCCGATGTCTACGAAGGCACCGCACTTGCGGCCACCCACACCAACTTCCACAATGAAATGCTCCTCTCTAGGACCTCTACTTAGTGCCACCCAGGACTCACGAGGGTCCCTTGCCGACCACTCACCTTGAAGGTCCTCTAAGGCTTCAGACACATCCAATGTACAGAGTATAGTTGGGTCTGGATGCGTCTGCGGGGTGACTAAGGACTCGGAGTCAATAGCTTCGACCAACTGTTGGAATGAAGAGGGTACATAACCAGCTCCAATGAGAGTAGAAGCAGCTACAACTTCTAGGACCCTAAGTGTCTCCCGAGCTGGAGCTCGTAGAGGCCTCAGACTGAGAAGAAGGACACCCACCCTTAGGAGAGATCTTCTGCAAGACCTTCGCGTTCTTGCACTTAAACTGCTGATGGTCATACTCGCCGCAGTTTATGCAAGCCCCACACTGCCAACGGTCCCGTCACACTTCTTGATCCAAACCGGCCCTAACCCAAACAACTATTTTGTTTGGGTTGGAGCTTGCCCCTGACTCCTTTGTTGACCGCCTTTGTCGCGGCCACCTGCCTTAGTCTTAACTATTGCGGCGAGGTTGCTACCCTTAACACTATCCTCGCCATCTAACTCTGTACTTTCCACAAGCTCAGGAACATCATCGATCTCAGTTTGATTCCCGTCGGAATGAACCATCATCAATCGACTACCCTTTTTTTTCCACTCTTGTGGAACCTTCTTCTTTCTCCCGTCCGTAGGGGGGGTTTGAACACTAACCAGCGTAGCCTCTAACTCTAGGGCCTTCTTGTTGAAGGTCTCAAAGGTGTGATATTCTAAGTGAGCCTCACTGACCAATGAGTTCTTGATGTTTGTGGGAAGACATCTCAAGAATATGGTCAATAAGACCTGTGGATTGTACTCCACGCCTAGGACGACAATCAAACACTCTACAGTCGTGGTAAGTTCACGCACAGACTTTTACTTCCTAGCATAAAGTTTCAGTAGCCCATCAGTGGCTATCTGCGTCTGCTGAGTGTTGTGCCACCGCGCCTCTACCAAATCCATAAAGCTCTCCGGGGTGTGGGTCTTGGCCCAATCACCCATGTTCCTGCCGAAACCCTTGGAAGCCACCAATCCATTAAGCCAGCGAGTTGCTGAACCCTCCAAGTAGGATGCAACAATAATCACCTCCTCCTCTACCAGCATCCTCTTCTCCCTGACCCACACTGGAACCGTTCTCAACCAAGTGTCAGCGCCTCATCCTTCTTATCTCCTAAGAAGGTTGGAGGTGGTTTCAGTGGGGTCTTGGGGTACCATGGTTGCGGCTGTCCCACTGGTGAGACAGGTGGCGGCTGTAGTGTAGCTCCAACCCCTGGACCAGAAGATGAAGAAGCAACAGTCTGAGATAGAGATGCTGTTGAAGTACCGCTTAGTGTTGATCCTGACTGAGCGACATAGGGGCCTGTCATCGCTGAGAATGGCAGCGATGGCAAGACTGCTGGCTAGATTCCTGACCTTTATATGACATTTAGGATCTGGTCCAGGGTTTCCTGGATTGCATCCAGTTTGTTGTCCATGTATGCGTGCATGCACAGGATGTTCGCCTTGACAACTTTCATGTTGTTGTCTAGGGTAGATTCATATAAACCCTCTAGCGCAACTTTGTCTGCCTCTCTGGTGTCTAGTCCGATACTCCTATTTCTAATTTCTTTCTCCCTATCGGTAGCCTTTTTAAGTTCCTCCTCTAGCCTTAAGCGGATCCTTTTCACTTGCTGGAGCTCCATCTGCTCCCGGGTGTGTGTAGGTGGCGAGCTGAACTGCAAGCCCGCCATCTGACTAGAGCCGGATCCTTACGTATTGAAGTCGGACTGCGAGAGGGACCATCCCTGCGGCATTCCAAGGGAATTTGTAGGGGACGATGCTGCAGAGGAAGCCATTGCTACCGCACTGGCTGCTGGTGCTGCCAATGCTCTTTCCGCAATTGTTGTTGCTTCCCTTGCAGTCTCTAGATTACGGGCCCTAGCTTCGACCCTTATTCTTCTTTAGTCTTCCGGTAGTAGGGCCTGGAACACTACGAGTATCCTACCGGTATCCCTTCGTGTCTGCCTCCTATCGTCAATTGTACCTTCACCACCCTCTGATCCACTCATCGACTAGACAAAAGTTGTTTGCACTAGTGTCCTCACTTGGACGTACCGCAGCATGCGTCTGACCAGTTCTAAAAATAAATAAAATAAATTTATGTCCGGTGAGTTACCTAGGCTACCTGTCAAGCGGCATCAACAACACCTATACAGAATGTACACATAGTCTACCTCTATCCTGATTAGTTCTGCACAAAAGCTTCGAGAAGAATTGACTACGGTAGATTACAGTCCTACTCTAGGCTGTCTATTAGATGTCAGCAGTTTGTCAACCAACTAATCACAATAGAAATAGACTAATGTGAGGAGATTTACGCACAATGGGTATAATAGTGATGTACAGTAGAGTCCACAATTGGAATCCCCTTCCCCTGTATCCAACGTACCTGTGAGCATTATCAAGTGGCAATGTCTAAGGTGTGCAACAACGGCCCACCCCTGTGCCCAAGGCATATGCTTATGACCAGCCTGCCCGTTATTTACCCTCGCATGCAACGAGCCTTACGTCTGACTGATCTGGCTGATCAAGAGGCAATTTAAGTACAGTCCCCGAGAGTCGTCAAGAATTATTTAACGTCGCAATCAGGACGACGACCACAGCTAGTGGACAATTCAGACCCCAACCAAAAATGTTTATAAATGGTCTGGGAGTCTCTGCTTAGGACTGGTCAGTCCGCACACCCCTTCTGTCAGTGCAGCAAAGAGCCTCAAAGGACAAAGCAGCATGGCCTGCGTGTACTACTCCCATGGGTTGGCATGGTAACCGTGACCCGTGCTTCGACCAGGGCCCTTCAGAGGCACCGCCCTCTCCTGCCAGATGTGCCACCGGGAAGAATGTCGTCTCTTAAGATAGAGCGCACACGACTCCTCACCAAAGAGACGACACTCAAAGTTAGACTCACTTCCTCACGGTAAGAAGAGATTGAGAATGTAGATAAGGAATGGGAACAACGTACCCGCAGATAGCTGCCCCCAACCACAGATTTCTCACCAATTGGGCCAACGTGTATTTCGATGACCGGTCAATAGCCTCGGTACCACCCACAACGCAATGCAGTGCCACCTCAGCCAAAATGCCACGTCAGCATGCTCTCATTACCATACATACGCCCGCTGTAGCCACAGCCTTCCAGCGGCCGGCCCCTCTACCTGGGCCCCGCTATAACAAGCCAACGTCAAAGTATCCTTACTGCACATGAAGCATCGTCAGCGCACCAAGTAACAATGTCACCAGCGCCAGGTAAGCGGCAATCACGAACCAGCTCCGATACCAAATTGCAAGGAATATGAGTGTGAACGATATACAGAAAACCAAGTTGCGAAATCACACAGATGTCCAAGTAGTCATGTACAAGCAGAGAGCATGATTGCACCGAAAATCCATTCAAATAGAGCAATACAATGAAGTAATGAGCCAATGTTCAAGCCCGCAGGCCACACCAACACAGTATCCAAAGTCACTCCTCTCTGTTTGGCGTCCAGAGCCTAGCCTACTCTACTCGACTATCCTGCCTACAGCTGTGCTCATGCAACAGGCTCACTTCGACTCTCGAAGGCGGAATGTACATGATGTCAACACCATAGCCGACCTCTCTTCATGCACCAGGTATGTATCTCGTCACCCTCATCAGACCTTAATACCCCACACTCGCCTCCTTCCTTGAAGACCACCAGATCACCCTCTTACCCCCTGGCACCCAGTGCCCGGCTATGGCTGCCTGCGCCCCGCTGCCCTGCAGCGCCCCACCTCTATGCGCCCCGCCAGCGCCCTGACTATTAGCGCAGCATCAATGCAGCAGCGCAGCAGCGTTCCCTCATTGCCTACGCAGGCCAGAATGCCTCGCCTGGGCTGCCTCATTTCTTATATGGAAGTGGCAGCCTCCTGGATGCTGCGTGTGGCCTGGCTGGAAGCTTCCAGTAGCTTCCGGTTGGGCCTCAATCCCTGCACCCTGGCCCGAGACTACAGTTGAGGGCCTGGACCCTTTACAGTTCGGCACGGCCTGAGCCTCCGGACTTGGGCTGTTTGCTGCATTTGTGCGGGGCCCCGGGGTAGGTGCGTCGACAGTACTGCTTTTGCATAGGCCCATGGCCGCTTCACGATGTATCGGCCCTGCTTTGTGTGTATGTGCCCAGGCGCAACTGCCAAGGCCTGGGCCAACTGTACGACGCAGCTTAGTGAGGCTCATGCCTCCACTCAACCAACTGGCGTGCTGCAAGAGCCTGAATACCGACATATGAAAGTGTCAAATTTTGGCCTCTGATGAATACTCAGGCCCACCTTCACTTAGGGCGGGCACTCGGCTTGCTGGGGGGCTTTGCCCAGAACATGTATGTCTGATAGGGCCCTCTGAGGGCTTGTTCCTCGCAATAATAATAATAATAATAATAAGAAGAAGAAGAAGAAAGGAAGCAGAGTGGCTGGTGGCTACTGATGAGCTGTGTTCTGATCCTGTCCAAGCTGCATGCATGTCCGTGTAAACCATGAACCTGTTCTTGCTTTTGGGACAATATCCATGGTGGTTGGTGCCGAGTTATCCTTGGATAATCATAATATGCCTGTTGACGCCTAACACTGGGAAGTGCAATGCTTAATGTGCTGTGTTCCCCATGTGGACTGCAGTGACCAGAACGAAGCAGGCTGTGCTTGGCACTGTTGTTGCTGTGGTGTGCACGTCTGTATTATTCATTGGAATTTTTGCTGCCATTGCATCAAGGAGGCACCACGAGGAAGCAAAGCGTGCGAAGGTGGAAATTGAAGAAGAGAGCCACGAGATCACAAGGGTAATGTGGGCAATCCACGTCATCGTCTTTATGCCCTCCCCTCTGCTTCAAAAAAAAAAACAAAAAACAAAAAAAAAAAAACTCTTCTTGCCTATTTACCTCCATCAGGAAACAAGGTGGCAGGATTGTCCTCCTATTGCACAGTAATCAGTATTCCTTCCAATGAATCCAGTCTATTTTTGCCAGTAACATAGGGCTTGCCACACTGTATGCCCATGCCATAATTCACCAACCGGTTTCAGTTGGGGAAGATCTTCACCGTATTCATGGCGTAGATGGGAAGGGGCCTACTATCTGAGTTTATGGACGATGTGGTGAGCATCCTCTGTTGCAGACACTTTCAGGGAAAGTTTTTCACCATGGTGTAATGACTTGCTGCTTGCTGCCGTATCTGCCTGCGGGGTTGTACTCTACGGTGTGGTTTTGCCTGCTGAATTGCGGCATGTTTGTTACTGTGTGATTGCTGTGTTTTTGTGGTCGCACTGAGGGCTGTCCGCTGTTCTAAAAATAAAATAGAATTAACAGCGGTA